GAAAGACGCCCCCAAACCCCCCCCCCCCCCCGGGCGAACATCATACACCCGATCGCTTAGAAAAGATAAAGCACACCTCTCCTCAATAAGCTGCACGATTTTACACCTCATTCATGGGTCTATGACAAAAGGTGCGGGAGGAGTAGCGTGCAGAATTTTTGTGTGGAAAAAGAAGTAGTATGCAAGAGAACAATAGTGATGCTTTGCCTTTGGCAAGCACCACTAATAATTATATGAGTTAATAAATAATATTATATAAGTTCATGATTTGTAAAGCATTAACTATTTGTATCAAATGTGACGTCATAATACTGTATGTGAACGTTTTTTTTTTTCCTCTCGAATTGCAAGACACGACTGATCACGTGATCCCAATATGGCATCCGCATTAGGAAATGAGGATGCACTGGAATGCTTCTTGAAAATATTGTGTACAGCTGTAAGGCATTTGCGAACATCACACAAATGAACGATGGAATCTCTGCATTTCACCGGAAAACTAACATCTCTTCTCAACCATATGAGAGTCGTAAAGCTGAACCATGGTCAGCCCAGGCGCCAATTGTCTCAAATAAGTTCCTGTCCCGCTCGGCTTATCTTTACAAGAAACACAAGGAGAGAGTGATTTACCAAACCACCTCCGGGGTCGGCAAGCACTAGGACTCTCTGGACTCATTTAAGCAACAGAACGTCAGTGTTGTTTCGTGACTGGCTTCAGCATAAATAAACCATCTAATAAACCACAGAACAAAGAACCTGGTATCTGGAAATGTTCTAACGACAGACACTCCCGGACCCCATGACCGTCTAACGCATAAATTGATAATCCGATAAACAGAAAGCAACAGATTAATAGCTCCATGTCCGAGCGAGAAGAATGGCAGATCTACTCCCGTGACATCGTCATGAGCTTTTCAGCTGTCACCCAAAACGCAAGTAAACGAACAAAATCTTATCTGTGCTGAACTGGTGCCGAGCTAATTTTAAGCAGTAAACATAAGCCAAGTCTCTGCTTTATGAATTTTCTCAGGTTGCAAGTAAAAGAACCGTAGCGAATATCTTGCTAAAACTGTGGGCTTTCCTCAGAACTCCGTTAACATCATTTCCCTGAAACTTTGTGTGTATGTGTGTGTGTGTATGTGTGTTTTAGCTTAGTTTAATGTTTCAGATTCGAGTCCTCTCAAAACCTGAATTAATTAATAATAATTAATTCCCTAAGAAAAGTAATCTGATATTACACAGCCTTCTCATATCTTGTGACCAGTACAGGGACACTCATTTAAAATGACAAAGCATGGCATTAACAGTTGGCTGGTTTTTGTTGTCTTTTCCGCTGATGTACCGGATCTCTCATTTTCGTTTCATTGAAATTCCCGTTGGCCTCAATGACAAACACGAGTGATCCATCACCACTCTAAATGGCTAAATTGACAGCCCTCAAGGGCTTTGAATGCCTGTTCTGCTGACACAAGATTATCACATTTATCCTTTTTATTTAATCCTTCCAATGTGACACTTTATTACATCCAACATGGTGTTGGCGGTTGGTGCGCTTGTTCCCGACATTTTAATTTCCTACATGTGAATGGGGCATCAGCAGGTTATAATCAACATGATTTGCATGCAGAGAGATGTTCTAATACTTTTGTGCTTCTTAATGTGCAATTTACACTCCAACAATCACCCTTAAGATCTTTAAATTATCCAGCCATAACATCCTGAGATCAGGGGCCACTGTCTTAACAAGGGAGAGGCATGTTCGGTGTGTGTCCGTCATTTAATTCAACCCGTTTCACTCACTCTGAGATAGAGGTAATTAGGGATATTTAATAAGGGGAGTTGCCAAGTGAATAAGTAAGGACATGGATATGACTATGTTCTGCTGCATATCTTTTTCCAGGAGTCCAGTGCATCGAAATCATAATGTTGCTCATTATTAGAGAAAACTGGAGATCTAATGTGTTCATTTAAAGATGTATTGGCGTTTTATGTTATTTATGTCGGTCATTAAGAAACCCTAGCCACACTATGGATTATATTTTACAAGTTTGAAACTCCAGAGATCATTGCGAGCGATACTGTTAGCCAGAAATCCATAACTTGCTGAGCATTTGTGATTACTTAATAAATAATTACAAAAGTACGAAACAAAACCAAAGCCTCTGGGAAAACAGCTATGTGGCATATTGTGGCGTAACATATTGTACAATGGAACAGTCTTTTGTAAAAGATTATTATGAGTATTTGTTCAAGTAAACACGATTAGAAAGTGGTTGTTTTGACTAAAGGATGAAATCTCAACATAGATCTTGGGCAAATGTTTTTTATGCCTTTGTATTTTTATGTTGCAGTTGCATCCGAGCCTTTTTAATAAGTCTATACATTTTGTTTTCCTTTATGTGGTTAATGTTCTTGCTGTATTGTTTGATGTAATGGAGTAATTAATCTTGCTCGATAAATCCTCTATTTGTTACTTTTCTTGGCATAATCAATAGTAATTCATAAAATCAGCAGGAAAAATGGCATTATATTCGCTGTGGTCAGTACACTCTGGTTTCCATTGCAATGCTTGTTGGGTCTTCAGAAATAAACACACAATAAGAAGTCCAGTTTAAGGTCTATAAACAACAGCATGAAAACTTAAATAGGCCTCTGTTGTTAGAATTTGTCTAAATTGTCTAAATCTTCTAAAAGTCAGCAGTGAATTCATGGCCTCCCACTAGCAAGGTGTCTGATGCCAAGCCGTGTGTAACAGCACAATCAATGTACCTCTCTCTTTATTTCCCAAACTAGTCCCTGAGCCACATTAATTTCTAAGTGCTACCGTTCTGCCCTTGGTTTGGATCCAACCAGAACATAAAGCATGAATTGCTGATTAAATAACAAATAATTCAGATAAAATGTTGTGCTTTTGCTCCTGTAGCCCTTGGCTTGTCAGTGTGGCTTGGTAATAGTGCCAAGAATAATTTTGTTTATTATGAATTACAAGGAAAAACTTGTTTACATTCTTGTAAACACTGACTCAACACTGAGAAATCTCCCTATGCTGAAATACATGTATGATTGAATAAAATAAAATAAAATACTTACACTACTGCTCAAAGGTTTGAGTTCAGTAAGATTTTTTATTCTTTTTTCTTTTTCTAGAAAGAAATTAATACATGTATTCAGCAAAGATGCATTAAATTGATCAAAGTAAAGATCACAGGAAAGACAGTTATAATTTTACAAATTTCGAATAAATGCTGTTCTTTTGAACTTTCTAATTATCATGGTTTCCCCAAAAAAAAAAAACATTAAGCAGCACAGTAGTTTTCAACTGTGATAATGATAAATGTTTCTAGAGCAGCAAATCAATATATTAGAATGATTTCTGAAGGATCATGTGACACTGAAGACTGGAGTAATGGATACTGAAAATTCAGCTTTGCCATCACAAGAATAAATTAAATTTTAAATATATTTAAAATTATATTCAAATAGTAAAACAGCTATTTTAAATAATTAAAAAATATACAAAATAAAATCACAATATTACTGTTTTTACTGTATTTTATCAAATAAATGCAGCCTTGGTGGGTATATTAGAAAATATAATTTTTTGTCTGTATATACAACATAATTTTCTTTCTGATGCATACAGTGCTAAAAGTGATATTTTTCTCTTTTAGAATTGCAGAGCAGTTCTTGTGGGAACCCTGGCGTCCCGCCTAAAGGCATCCTGTATGGGACACGCTTTAATGTAGGCGACAAGATCCGCTACAGCTGTGTAACTGGCTATGTGCTGGACGGCCATCCTCAGCTCACCTGTGTGACCAATGCAGGCAATGCTGCCGTATGGGACTTCCCAGTGCCCATCTGCAGAGGTAAGCAAGCAGCCAAATTTCTCTACATGTGACATGCATGACTGCAAGCGTGTGCATTTCTCCGCATGAGTCTTTGATGTTTTTCTGTGTTCTTTTGTCCTTACGGATGCTTGTGCGTATAGGCATATAAGTAGCCTCTTGAACATTAGAACCACATGACATCACGCTCTTGTCAGCTCTTACATTTCCATGTTTATTTTCTATCCTTGTATTTCAATCTTCCCTTCTTTCCTTTCAAGCACCGTAAGGGTCCTTTTGCATTTATTTGACTCTTTCAATAAGTTTTTGATTCCCTTTAATAATTCAATTCACTTTACTTGGCCACATTGTTGTTTTTCTCCTAAAAAGATGAGTCAGGACTCTGTGTGTTTGTTGTGAATATATCAAGATTTATTGTCCTGTGTTCAGACCAATTATAATGTGCATTAGCCATGACCATTCTCAAATAAGAATCTCTCCATAGACAGCCTGTGCCAGTTTCTGCTCCAGTGTGTTTAATAGAAAGGGGGAAACGACAGTGTCTGGATCATGCTTGCTTTGGTTGGACACAAATTGCAAAGCCAACTGTGCTTGAATAGAAAATAGCCTGAGGTGCTAAAATGTGGAGCCTCAACCTGGCCCAGACTGCTGTGGGGTATAGAGGAGCAGGCCACTGTGTTTGCTGCACTTGTCATCTGGCACTTTTATGTCTTATATGTGTGGATGTGGTTTGATTATTGAATATTTTGTTGATTAACTGCAGAATTGCATATGGTACCATAGCATAGATGTGATTTTCATTCCATATTAAATTACTTACTTAAGTATGTTTTGTAATGCATGTTGGGTTTTGTGTCTGAATTAGTGCATTTAGTCATTGAATATTCATTAAAAAACATCACAGAACATTCTTAATTTTCTACTCATAAGTTACCTTGACAAAAAGTAAATCTTTGTGTTATATGGTATCTGCCCTTTTCCCCTTTTATGAGCAGAGTAGATGGGAGATTTTTACATAAAAGCAGCTCTGAAATTATTTTTTTCCGGCAATTTACAGTTACCATTAATTTTAGATTAAGGGGAAAAAAATCAATTTTAAACCTTAAGTCAGGGGACCTTTATAAATACAGCTTCCGCAAATGTCAATGTTATGCTAAAATTCTGTAATGTATGCACCTCTGAATGCAGAAGTCGAGATATAAAAAGCTCTCCAGAATATTTGTGGCCCACTGGCACTTTTCATTTTCACTTCTAATTGCATTATGGATACTCTGAATTTGTATTATTATTATTAATTAATTTGTTTATTTATTTATTTTTTTGAACTGTGTTGTTGTTTTTGTTGTTGTTATTATTATTATTAAACAATATTATATTTAAATACGTATATATATATATATATATATATATTCATTAGGAATTTCGGAAAGATATAATACATACTGCTTATTCAGCATTTTGGTATTTTGGAATTGACTGAAACAAATAAAGGTTTCTGTCAGCTGTTTCTAACTTCAGTTTCCAGATATTTTTCTCAAAATTGCTTGGTTGTGCATATCTCCATTCTTGGATGCCTTTGGCACAGTTGGTCAGTCTGTAGTATCAAGGCGTGAAATAGGCATGACAGCACTGCTGCACAGGTAGCCGAGCTGAAACGACAGTCGCAGAGATTTTTATTTAGCTAGGGTGGAAACTCTTAGCCCACACATTACCAAACAATACGCTCAACACCCAATCCCATGTTGCAAAACGCCATGGGACTTGTTTATCATAAAAAATAATCTCATTAGACAGTGTGTGAGACCCTCAGAGAATTGTCATTTTTTTCATTTTCCTGAGCATTTTCTCTTTTTGAAACTGAACAGCAGCCTCAAATAAAACAAAGCCCTTAACGCAGTCAGCAAAATCAATGCTGCTTTTTTAGACCGAGAAGCAAACTATTTTGTATCTGGAAATCGTCCAGACGAGCTCTCGGCATGTTTTATTAACATATTGAGTGGGCTAATTCGGTCCAGTAAATTTTGGCTGCTAATAAATGTTTGTGGATGGGCTCAGTCCTCTGCAGAGGTCAAGGATAACAAACTGGTAAACCCAAGTGAAATGGGCCATCTTGTCACAGCTGAGGGAATATAGCTCTGTTAATCAGACAGCTATAAAATGGCATCATTTAGGTCAGAGACTGAATTTCGGATTTGCTTCAAGCTTTGAATTAGCCGAACAAAGTTACCTCTTTGCTGTAAACAAGTCCCAAATCCTCGGCTGGAAACTAGTGCCTTTAAAGGTCAAGCATGTAGCGAGATGAAGAAAAAAAACAAATAACGTCGCTCTGATGCTGGAACTGTAATGTGAGTCAGTTAATTAACCAAATCAATCATTGCGTGTACATATTTATGGCTTCCAATGATCTTTACCGTTCTCCACTAGTGCTTATGCTCCTACACCAATCCTACTTAGCAAGGCCAAGTGTGGAATAGCTAAAATTATCCTTTGTCGAATGGAATTCCTCAAGGAGCATTAAAACGCTGATAATTTGACGCTGAGGCTATGAGCCTTAATGACTGGCTTTTGATGTGCTAGACTTTAGTTTTGACAGGGTCTTTTTTTATTAAAGAGTTCAGACTCACTGTGGGCTGCAGCAATCGTGCCTCTCCTTCCCTCTTCCTGTCTGGCTTTGACAACCATGGGGACCACCTGCTTAAAGAGGTAAATCCCTGACCAATCCCACTCCACTCTGAGCAGCCCTGCCGAAATTGGAGCTGACACCCGCACCCTTCTTAAATGCAATGCTCTTGCCAGGGACTGCTTATGAGCTGACTTGATTGGTTTAGAGAATCTGTCTCTAACTGCACAATATAAGCCCATGAAGAGATGTCTGACCAAATAAATAAATAATATATTGACAAGCCTGACCCAACATGATAGGATTCAACAATCTGATAAAGACTATAGAACATTATTTTAGTATTATTTATTATGTATTATTTATATGCAATTATAGTTTTTAGAATTATTTTGAAATATATTTTATTTTTCTATTTTCAGTTCTTATTTTAAGTTATTTTATGTGCTTTTGTCATTTATTATTATTATTATTATTATTGTTTTTGTTGTACTTCAACTTAAACGTATTTCAGTTAGTGGCAAAGGCAACTCATTTAGTAAGTTTTTCATCTAATTTCTGTTTTATTTTATTTCAGCTTTATTTCAATTAACAACAAAAAACAATAATCGTAATAGTTTATAGTTAACAATATCAATGCTATAGAGAACCTTGTGAGAGTCTGTGGTGCATGGTTATGGAGCATTCTCAAGTTTTCTTGACAGATAATGAAAGGCTGTTGCTGGGTAAAAGGGATTTGGCTTCAAGACTCATGGGGTGATGGAAGTCTACTTAATCTTTTGCAGCTTTTTTGCAGAGTGGGTGCTACCGTTGCCACATTTTCTAGCCTCTTGACACTTTCATATGCTAATGCTATCTCAGTGTCTTTCCCTTATGTGCTGCCACTGTTGTCTTAAGCACAGATTATGTGATTAATGCAGTGTAATGTACTAAGTATTATAGTTCTTTTCATTCATAAATCTACTACAGTACAGTACAGCTGTTGCAGTGAAAGTATTTTGTATTTTATATCTGCACTACTGATTTTTAAAGGAAGTTTTTTTAAAGAAATTAATACTTTCATTTAGCAATGATGTATAAAGTCAAAAGTGACAGTAACAATGTTACAAAAGAACACTGAATTTTAAATCCATCAAAGAATCCTGGAAAAAAAAAAGTGATAATCACAGGATTTAAGGGGGAAAAAATTATTTCACAGTATTACAACTTTACTGTATTTTTTATCAAATAAATGGAGACTTGATGAGTATTAAATGCCTCTTTCATAAAAAAAAATACTAATTCGAAACTTGTGCAGTTGCAGCTTGCTTCAGAAACCCTCCACCTTCCCCAGCTCCACCTGTATAGATCTGCTACGAGGTGATTCATGTATGCTATATGGGGGTTATTTCATGGATGTTATATTTGCAGCAGCAATATTTCTTACATGCTCACAGCAGCATGTTGTGGATGTATTGGCAGTAGCAAGTCTCGGTACTTGCTCTGCCTCAGCAGCAGCAGCGTAGCAGATCTATTCCGCCAAGACCAAATAAATTAACATTGCCATGTACATTACCATGCCAATCCCTCCGAGAGTTGTCATGACAGAACTACCCATTTTCAGTACAGAAAATTCTTCTCTAGTAGCATCTTAAGAGTTCATCCGGAGATTGTATAAGATGATTGTATATTTAGGAAAGAAAACATCATCACAACATCAGATATTGCAACAGTGCTGCATCATATGCAGTTATGTCCATGTATGTAAGTGTTTGGTCCAACTTGTTAGTGAACAGTTGGCTTATTTAGGTTTGTTGGCTAAAAGTAGTGATCTAGTTAATTTTAGGCAAGTAATTGTTTTATGGAAATTGTTAACCCCACTACCTTATATAAAGACAAATGCTCTAATTCATACAAAAGTAAGGTACCACACTGCAGATGCCATTTGTATTCCATTAACTGAAACCAAGCAGCGATAATGATGTTGATTTATGCTGTGGTTTGAAAGATATCGCCACAGTCTGTAGGACAGTATGTAATTCCCCTGAATTCAATTCCTATGTGCACCCATCATTTAAGTGATGGACGAACGCAATTTATTACATGAGTACAGAAATGGAGTGCAGCAATGACCCTATTGGATGATCTTAGATGGGAGCCCTGCCAGAGGAGACTGCTGCAGTGTGCTCACTCAGGGTTCAAAAGTACAGCAGATACCCAGAGACACTGAACTTCCAAGGTTTGAAGTTGAACTCTAGTGCAGATTCAGGCATCGCCTGGAAGTTGGAACCAAGTTTTCCAGGTTTCTCGGCATCCCTCTTAGAAAGACACGAAGTGAGATGTTAGTTTTTGAGTCGGCTCAGCAACACGTATTTGTGGAGTGTGTCATTTCTGCACCAATAGCATCACCAAACAGAGCTAC